CTGGCCCAGGAGTGCTCGGACAAAGCCAAGTGGTACAACATCCTGGCGGCCGGCTGGAACATGCTAATCCCACTCCTGGGCGTCGTCATCATCGTCCTTGTGCTCGTCCACCTGGGCTCGTCCCAGGGTTCGTTCGACTTCCTCGGAGAGGACGGCCTCAAAAACTTCTTCAAACTTTTCAGATGGTAGATCGACTGGGGGGAGGGAGAGAGAAAAGAAAGAAAGAAAGAAACACAACAATCTCAAAATGTCGACCCGTTCATAGTCACCGTCATGTGAGGGCATTAGATCAGGCTAAGCAGATTAGGTCAGACATGATAGCTTCTTATAACATTAGCCAGAGTACGGCATGTGATACAAGTCTTAGCGTTCCTTTTCTGTATGGACGTCAGAGACTGCCGAGCTTTTTAAAACCTGTTTTATTTAAAAAATCCTGATTGGCAAAAGTAAAAGTAAATTTGGGGTGATGTGTTATAGGAATAAGTATCAAGGGATGCACCGATACTGATGCTGATATCAAATATTTTGTCAATACAAAGCAAGACAGGAAATTTGACCTATATCTGAGAGGTACACATTTAAAAAAATATAAATAAAACATGAGACTTTTGAATAAGTCATCTAAACCAATGATACAAGTTTAGTGCCTGTAATTTGGCATTTCTCCTTATTTGTATTTTATTTAAAAACATTAGTATCAGTGCATTCCTAATTGTAATGTCAGTATTAGAGGCTGTTTAGCCTCCACCTGCCAGTCTCTCAGACATGGTCGAAATTTGGTGAAAAGATTGAAGATGCCTGAAATAAAATATAAAACGAAAATTGACTAAGAGCTGAATCCAGACTGACAGACTGAGCATGCAGCTACTCTGAGTCATATTTGTTGTTATTTATTGTATTTATGATGAATGGAGAATTTGGATGACAGCTGAAGTTCCCTCTGGTCAGCACAGACAGAGGAGAGAGAGCAGACGACTGTGGAGTTTGAAAACCGTGATGATGAGAAGCCACTTTACAAAGGATGTTCAACATTCACCTCTCATTGATAGTCCTCTATTTTATGTCTTAAAGCAATTTTTAAAATTGTGTTACTGTTACAATAGGCTACATATATTTTATGTCATTATTCATGTATTTTATTCGTATATTTGTTGTTTTACGTATCTTGATTTTCTTCCAACCTCTTGTGAGTAAGCAAAATAAACCAGATACTGTACACTCAGTATTCAAAAACGTATCTTCATCTTCCTTTACCAACTTAACCAAAATGTTCAGGTCTTTTTCAGATCCCCTCTCAGCTAATAAACACAGGGATGAAGAGATGAAGGTTCAACGGCGGTTGCGGTTCTGCTGCAGCACCTACACCCAACTTTAAAGTGATGGTTATGGGCTCCATGTTCGAGTTTGATGCTGGCGTGGTGTCTGTGTTAAACAGGCGAGGCATGGTTGTTTTCATCCCAGCTGTGAGCTCGCTGCTGTACCAGCTATAAACAGAACATACCATTTTAGGAAAGTGTATATGTGCAGTCCAGCTGTAAGGCAGGGCAGCCCAGGCAGACCACTACAGAGGAGTTTACAGCAGTATGAAAGCCTGCAGCCGTACAAGGGCTCATATCCACTCCGCGGTCTTATCACACTGGGTAGCATGGATTTTCATTTGCTGAGTGGCTAGTGGTCCAGGAAAATCTACAAAGCCTGAGCCAATGCCTTTAGCATCACCATCACAGATGTATGTTGTGCTGAAACACCACATAAGCATTTATTAGAATGCACTAAAAATCAAAGTCCATGTTTCCAAAAACCTCACATGCAACCCATCAGGTTTTCTGTATACATGCCATTGATTACCTTCGCCAAGGAGGTTATGCTTTCATCCCTCTCTGTGTGTTAGTTGGTTTGTATGTTTGTTTGTAAGCAAGATTAAGCAAAAACTGCTGAACATATTTCCACAAAACATTTTGGAACAACCCATTCAATTTTGATGTAGATCCAGATCAGGGGGCGGATCCAGGAAATCATTTTCACTGTCTTTAACATTGCGAAATAGGGTGTTTTCCATGATTTCCCAGTGAATAGTTCTTGGATCTTGGATATCTATGAATGTGTGGAATTCGGTGCAGCTTTAAGGGGACTGTTGGGTTTTGACAACGTTTCTCTTCTGAGTGTCATTCTAAAGATTTCAACTGTTTGTATAATGTGCAGCCAACAAACATCTCATACTGTATGTAGTGATTAGGACAGATGGGGGGGCAACTTGAAAATCAAGAAGGATGATATTGCGGAGAATGAGTCAAGCTGGTACATGTCTGAATGTGGAATTAACCCAGTGAGATGCTCTTGAGCAATTCAGAAACTAAATCTGGGCACCATATCCCGTTGCGGTTTAACTTGTCCTGCCGCTCCTTCTCCCTTGTCTTTGATGACTTGGGTGTCCCACTCCTGCTGACCTCCCACCCTCTGTACTGCCATCATATTAGCAGCCTCTCCTCTGCTCGCTACTTTATTTATATATACCCAAATGACAGCCTCAAGCTTCCAACTTTCTATTTTCCTCCTGTGGTAAGAAAGAATTACTTACAGATGTTCTCGAGCAGTGGAGAATTACAGGCTTGCACTGCAGAGGGAAGGGTGCTAACCTTTGCCTGCAAGACATGCTGGATGAACACACACAAAATGTTTTTACTAACAGGGCTATTTAGACATATATATAATAAATGCAAACACAGCCCTGTTCACAAATGCAATTGGAGAGAGTTTGACGTGCAGCAGGCAGTCATATGCAAACATCCTGAAACACACAATCATCAAACAACTTTTGATCTAAGCTTTTGTTTGTAGCTGTTAAAAAAACACTGGACGACATCACTGGTCCTTAAAAGTGAAGCCAAAGTGTCTTGATTGTCCCCTATTGGCTGGTTGTGGTATACAGCATAACCCCTGCCTTCTCAATGTTATAGAATGTGACATGGGCCAACATAAAAAGTCCAAGTGCAGTAAAGTTTGGTTTTAATTAGTTATTTGATGCTATAAAAACAAGGTGAAACATCATGACTGACATCTGTGATTTACTCAGTTGGACCTCAATACTATCGTGCCCTCCCCCAATCGCTACTGTGCAGACTGCAGATCGAAATTTCTCACCACAAGATGGCAGCGTTCGCATCCAGGATACTTCTGGAAAGTGGGCTGAAGTAGAGACGTGTTGTCCATCTACAGATACCATCTTAGCTCCTGACACATTAGCTGTTGATTCTTTGTTTGCTGCTGTTGAGAGATGCTGATCATTACAACGGACTCTTTATGAAACTCAGATTATTTACATCGTGCATAATAGTTAGGAACTATCTTCAATTACCATTTTTAAGAAGTAACTGTAATCAAACATAAACTAACCATCCTCTCATCTTATAGCTTGGTCATAGCTTAATTGAGAAGAAATTGTTAACATCTAAATTATCCATGTTTCCAAGTTGCAGCAGGGTTTCACTGTCCCTCCTGACATTTCGGATGGACTCCTCCCAGCCCGCAGTTAACTGCAGACAGAGGAACACATTGTCTCAGCCCGTATTTTTAATAGAAGCTTGTATACAGGGACTGCAGGAAAGCAGCGATGGACAATTCCTGTCATTGCTGGAGAACACAACAGTAAACCACTGATTATGGCCTACACTACAAGGGCAAGATTTTTGGTTGTAGACGTATTGTATCTATGCACAGCCTACTACATAGTTTGGTTACAGTGCCTGAAACATGAGAAAGCAGAAGCGCTTGTATTATTAGTATGGCAGTTAAACTGGTTTCCACGTACTTTGCTCTCACTGCACCAGTTTCGAGAGCAATATAAAGTCATGTTAAGACTTAATGAAAAATATTCATAGATGTTAACGCCGTTAAAAGATAACACTGCCCACATTACAGCTATTAACCGTTCTCCCCTTTGTGAATAAGATTCACTTTTTTTGTTGTGTTAATTGAGTTTTAAGTTCAAACAGTTTTATTACCAGTATTTTAAACTGCAGATAAAATTATGGTGAAGTATTTCATCATCATTATCTTGTTTTCTTTCTGTTGCCGTGAATCAACAGATCAATGAGATCAGTGAAATGCTGGTGCCCTGTGTCCTAACACAAGCTTGCCAACATCTGAGATTCATTTTGTTTGTACTGATGTGTTCCAACTGTGGGAACTCACGACACATGCGATGCCCTAAACCTTTTCTAGTAATGGTCTAAATATAATATAAAAGAGAAAGAGACAAAACACATGTGACAACCAAATCAAAATCAGGCTCCTAGTACTTAAGAATAAGCTTGAAGCTAGATTCAACTTTCTGCTTTTCCTCTGCTCCTCTTGCTTCCACTCCCACATTTCACCATGCTCAAGGCGTACAATGGTGGACTTGATCTAAAACAGATGTTTGAGAAGAAAACACAGACCAGCATCACAAGAGGGAGCAATGGAGAGACTGATAAGAATGTTTTCTCCACTAATCTTCCTCCTCCTTGTGTCTTATGTAACGGAAAACACCCAAATCTAAAGCAAGTCTCACGTTGCCATTTCTTTCGAGCACTTGTGATTTGTTCTTGCACTTTGCATGGTGTATATATAATTGTATAAACACAAATGTGCACATTGTCTCATGAGGTACACTTTGTACGAAAGTACAGTGTGGACAATGTATATAATTTATGAAATTAGGCAAATTTATATGTGTATAAGTTTATTAAAACCAGCCAGTTATCTGCAGAAAGCCTGGGAGGAGAGAACAACAACCAACTCTGCAACAACACCATGCAACACCATTTTACACAACTTCCATGTCCTCACCCACTCAGAGGACAGACCTATGTGACCTATGTGAAGGAGGCAGGCAGAGACACCACCCCTCATCCAAAAACCCTCCCACTGAACACACCCAGTGAGCCAGGAGCCAGGATACCTGAGAGACTCTACAACAGGGGGGCGTTTCCAAACCCTGCTGTGTGGGGCCTGAGAGTTGAGGAGGTGGAGTCTATGGTAGATCAACAACTCCAGCTGCAGGTCATAAGCTGCTGCAACCAGGAAGGAACGACATACATCGACCTGAGGAAGCAGGAAGGACAGTCAACATGAGCAGGTGAGGATCTCTGGTAGACCTTAGTCACAGTGGCTCAGTGTGCAGAGATGAGACAGGAAGCTGCAGGTATCAAACTGAAACAGAAAAGATTTTCTCATGATATGAGTCAGATTCATTTACTTTGCTCTCAGGACTCAGAGGAAGGCCTACTTGTTCTGCACCTCCGTATTTCTGTTTCTTCTTTACTACTAACAACACTGCAAGCAAAGTGCTATGGTTGTGTGATCCAAATTTGATTGAATGCAAATAGAATTCTTGATTTAACTTCAGTCAACTTCTCAATAATAGACAGCGTGTGGTTGTCAGCAATGCATGTTACAATGAGGAAGTAGAGGAAATAAGTAGAGCTCCACTGAATGGTTTTAACGGAGAATCGTGTTCATCTCTTGAGCTCTATCAGTTTACAAGCCCTGCCTTTGTGCACAAAGTCTGTGTTCTGTTGAAGCCCTGACGATCATGTTCACATGCTCACTGTGTCTGATTTTAACTGTCAAAGAGCAGAGCAAACAATTGAACCTTTTGTTTGTGCGCATGTTTATGTGAAGCCTCACCAGAGCAATGATGCAGATATGTATTTTTGTATTTCCTTGCAACAGTTCAGTTCAATGTGCTTTATTTCAACATGGTCACCCACTGTAATAGCAAGTGGCTTCTGCAAAGTCATGTGAACGTGTACCACATATTAATAATAATGTGAATTAATGTTAAATATAATGTAAATGTGTAGCTTTGAAATAGGTGGAGTTCTCTAGGCTTACATATCTGCATGTGAGGTCAAATGCTTGACCTTGTGCTGAAAATACGCTCAACTACTGCTGCTGAATTCCTTTAGAACACTGTTGAAAATACACTTATGAGCTTAGTGGCCAAGAGAAGATTGATCCTACTCTCTTATCTGTATGCTACATGTGTGGCTGGTTAGCTTAGCTTAGCATTAAAACTGAAAACATGGAAACAAATAGCCTACCTCTGTCCGATTGTTACAAACACACAATGATAATTTGAATTCATGTGTTAACTGGTAAATATAATGTTAAAACTGATGGATTCCATTCAATATTATTGGCTAGTGAGGTCAAGTTGAAGTTTGACCTGCTAAAAATATAAAAAATGATATGAGAGTACAACATTGTAGGAAATACACATTACTTTATTGCAGAGAAAAGATTGATCCCACTCTCACATCTGTGCGTAAAATGTGAGGCTGGAGCCAGATGCTGTTAGCTTAGCTTAGCATAAAGACTGGATACAGTGGGAAGCTGCTAGCCTGTCAAGGTAATACATATACACAACAGTAGTCTGATTTCAAGTATAGAGATGAAGAGACATGTAGAGAACACACGTCTGTATAATATTGTATGTGGCTGGAGCCGGTAGCTCTTAGCTTAGCCTAGCATAGTTTTATCCAAATGTTACAAAATGTGGACAGTTTGTTTAATCCAGATACAGTCACTAAGTTTTAAATATTTACAATCTAATTGGGGGAGTTTATCTGCCTGGAAATCTTTATTTAGCTGTTAGCAGGCGACTAGCAAGACTTCAGGATGTGACTGCCAACCATCAGGAGTAAAAACACTACAGTTGAGTTTTTACAGTCTAGATGTGTTGGTACCTTTGTTACCCTCACTGGCTGTTTGCTGTAGCTTCATGTTGACTATACTCACATGACAGTGGTTTCTTCTCATCACACTCTCAGCACACTTCCCTGCTTTGAATTATTGGATCAGTGTTAAACGTTAGCCTGTTTGCTATGAAACGGGAATTTGAAATGATGTAACACTTCAGAGCACAGTGGTGTCAGATGTCTGGGACAAAAGTTTTGTGTGGTTTTGCTAACAGCTCAAATTTGGTTGGGGGAGACATCAAGTCGTACACAGTGTTCTTTTTGAGCTGTTGCTTTTGCCAGATTTACGCACGTTTCCTGCTAAGTGCTGAAAAACCAGTTTCCTCACAGCACATGTTTTCATTGATGGTAGACCTAAATGTTAACCAGTTATGCAACTGTCAAGATTTTACAGCAGTTGCTCATCTTATGGTTAGATCCCTGTTAGAAACTAGAACCAGCCAGCAAAAAGTGATGCATCACACAATAATCACCCAAATCCTGCACATCCTACATGCATGCACTTTCTATGTAAAAAAGACCTTGTACTTATTGCACATGTCTGTACTGGTTGAACACAAGAATTTCCCCTCAGGGATGAATAAAGTATGTCTATCTATCTATCTAAATACAGTGTCAATACTGAGAAGCAGAAGTTCATACTGATGTGCATCAATCAATGGTGAAGGACAGAAAACTGTTTCTTTGCACAGGAAGTGAGAAGCCAACTTGCCTCCCCTCGTGCCTAGGTCTGGATTCAATTATGGTGCATTCCTTATGACACAACTTGACAAAACAGTTACCACAAAGCTCAGTGGAGGAAGCCTGGGGGCAATAAAGGAAAAGAGGAGGACAAAGGAATCAGAAGTTCCCACACTCTACACAGTTCATAGCAACAGATTTGTATTAGTGTTAAGACTTTTGTTAAGATTTTTTCATAAATGTGGTCGTCATTTTCCAGTTGAAAAGCATTTGTTGAATTCTTGTAGAAATGGCACTTGATTATTATGTTACTACCTAAATGGTCTTTTAACATTTAATGACATTTTATTTATCTTATTAATCTTATTTCATAATGTGTATTCAAAGAGTAAGTGGGCTGAATTTCATCATGCATTTAGTCAAACATTTATCTCCTTAATCCCTTATTAAACTAACTGCATAGGGAACTGAAAGAAATGCAAAGAAACACTCATTTCTGCCATTTGTATCTTTTCACTTCAGCGGATATCTATATTTATCTGGGTACATGTCACATTATTATTTCCTCATTTGTTGCTCCTAGTGAAGGTTGTGGTTGTAAACTGTATGATAGACAACTTTGATGTGGATCAATTATACTTCCTTATAGACTTCCTTATTGTGCTTACACAATGTACAAGCAATATAATGTGTTTATAAATAAATAAAACTTTGACGGAGACAGTGATAACATTATTCAGAGCTTGGACCAAGAAACTTTTTTCAAACACATCTGGAACATAATGTCCTGCCACTCTAAATCTTCTCTCAGCTTATCATTGTTTTGCAAAGTAAACAGTACTGTTGCAATTTAGTTTACAGTGGTCAAACCTTTTTAATGTTTCTACTGAGCTCTATTTGCAGTAGTAATGCAACCCGTATCGAAATGTACTGTTTGTGCAGTCGGTGTTGCAAAGACAGACTTCAAACTTTGAGTTAGCATGGCACTGAAATAGATTCCAACGATGATGTAATCATATTGATATTTAGTTTGTATATTGAACCATGCTCAACCAATTCTTCCTTGTTGTGTAACAACAAGCTGATGGCTTCATGCTACATTCCTCGAGCATATGTTGTTCCATAGGCACCAGTATGTCTGTGTGCAGCATGTTTGATGGTTTGCAGATGTATAGGAGAGTACCTATACAGACTACACTATGAGGATAGATCTGGATTTTATCCAGACTGTACTAACCCTATACAAGTTGTGAGTTTCTCCTTTGTTAATATCTGTGTAGTTGAATGTGCAGTATTGACCCAAAATAATATTTGTGGGGAAAATCTTCATTTAGCTGTTATCAGGCAACTAGTAAGACTTCAGGATGTGACTGCTCCTGAGGGATTTTTGTATGTCCTCACACATTACTGTATATGCTACTATATACTGTATTATGTATTTATAGTGTATAATTCATTATATCTGTACACCATTAAGAGAAGAGTGCTTGGCTAATTCCACAGATCCTCCCTTCTCTCTCTAAGCATTACCCAAGGTCAGGTTATAGATAAAGGACCAACCAACAGTGCATTGTAGCGTCTACGCTCAGGAACTTTCATATCTAACTCAGATGCTCCAGACAGAGAGGCACCAACTTCAACTGTTTTTGCATATTACACCAGTGGCAAGAGACAATGTGGTTTAGGAATGAATATTTAGACTTAACTATCCAATAGGATGTGAACACCTACATGTAACATAGAGAGTGACAGCAATTAGCCTTTCATGGATGTGCTGTTAGAATGGGTGACACAAGTAGAGGAATATTTACTGGGATGCTGTGGGAGACATCTTCAGACTTGGGGGTGACAATTGCTCGTTACTGTGTTAGTGTTTGTATATTGTTGCACCTTCCGGTCTCCTTGATGCATCAAGTCTACATGAAAATTAGTTCTCCTTTCACCAGCTTCCAGAAAACTTCCATAACAACTGCCAACCAACAGGAGTAAAAACAGTAACTTTGAGTTTTTACAGTCTAGATGTGTTGATACCTTTGTTACCCTCACTGACTGGCTGTTTGCTGTAGCTTCATGTTGACTTTACTCACATGACAGTGGTTTCTTCTTATCTCCCCCTCAGCACACTTCCCTGCTTTGAATTATTGGATCATTGTTAAACTTCCGCGTGTTTGCTGTAAGATGGGGAGGGAATTTGAAATTATGTAACTCTTCAGAGCACACTGGTGTCAGATGTTAGGGATAAAAGTAATACAACATGTTTTTTGTGGTTTTGCTCAGAGCTCAAGATTGGTTGGGGGGGACTTGAAGTCGTACACAGAGTTCTTCTTGAGCTCTTGCTTTTGCCAGATTTTGATTTACGTTTCCTCCTGAGTAACGGCTGAAGGATAAGTTTTCCATTATGTTCCCCACACATTTTTTCAGTGAGGGACCTAAATGTTCAAAAAGTTGATGTCTAAAACAGACCATCTGTTTTTTGAACCAGTTATGCAACTCTCAAGATTTTACAGCAGTTTCTTTTCTTATGGTTAGATCCTTGTTAAAAACTATTGTGTTGATTTAACTTATTTGTTTTGGATTGAGGTTTTTTGTCTGTATCTAGGTTGTCTTAATTTAAAGATATGTTATGCTAATTATTTTTCTTACATCTTTTGAATGTATTACTCTGCTGCAGCTGAAATAGATTCCAACAATGATGTAATCATCTTGAAATTTAGTTTGTATACTGAACCATTCTCAAGCAATTCCTCCTTGTTGTGTAACAAGCATGTTTGATGGTTTGCAGGTGTACAGGAGAGTCCCTATACAGACTACACTATGAGGATAGAGCCACATGTTATCCAGACTGTACTGTATATGCTAACTTTAAGTTGAAGGTTTCTCCTTTGTGAATGTCTGCGTAGTTGCATGTGTAGTGTGACCCAAACTTGGTATTAAAGTGCCTCAATTTAAACATTTGTGTCTGACTGGCTCCTCGTCATCAAAAAGAGTCTACTCCTGCGTTTCCCTCAAAGATTTCTTCTCTCATGTCTGATTAAATTTGTCCTCTCTGCAGGTGTCTTATCAGCCAGTCGGAGGTGCAAGGCTTCATTGAGAGATGTATGACGGCTGTGGGCACCAAGCAGCATCATGCTCGTAGCCTGGCTGAGGTGCTGGTGGAAGGAGACCACAGAGGCCACTACAGCCATGGACTCAACAGGATGGGTTAGTGCACTGTTGGAACTTGTCTGCACTTTTAATTTAAGGTGGTAGCACAATTCTGTTGGCATATAAGAAGGAAGTGGGTAAAATATGACCATTACTCTACTTTTTGACAGACATGTATGTAAAGGACATTAAGACGGGGATCTGTGCCAAGGACGGTGAGCCGGTGGTAGAGAAGGAGAGTGCAGCCACTGCACTGGTGGATGGGAAGAACCTCCTGGGTCCTGTGGTGGGAAACTTCTGTATGAATCTGGCCATAAAGAAAGCCAAAGAAGTCGGCATTGGCTGGGTGGTGGCACATGGTCAGTCCTGTCTTTTTTTAAGAGCATCAACGCTGTAGTAGGCCGCAACAACAAATTGACATTGTTGCAACACATAATTACTTGAGTTGTATAATGGATTTTGATGGAGCCAAGGTTCAGACCATGTTTTCTTTTTTATTGTGAGCCGACATTTCACACCAACATGCTTAGGCATCAGATACAAGTCTTTATTTGAGTAGACTGAATGTTTAGTGTTCATATAGGAATGAATTTACCTGTTTAGGGATTAATAGTGTTTGGTTCATAACAGTAAACTGTAGTAAAGATGGATGACTGCACAATAAGCAGTCAGCTAGTTGGTATTTCAATACAATTCACTTTAATATCAGCAGTATAATTAAATTGTTATTTTGTAAATTGACTACAGTGGAAAAACACATTTTGATAAAATAATGACAATGAATTACCATTTCTTTTAAACCATGTGTCCTAATGCCACTTTTAATTTGTAGGTTCCAATCATTATGGTATTGCCGGATACTATGCAATGCAAGCTCTGAAAGAAAACATGATTGTGAGTGAATCATTTATTAGCCCATTGACTTTTCTTAAACAATTACACTGCTGCTGCTACAAATAGTTAAAAAATCATCTTAACATTCCCTGTTTTTATTTCATTACCAAAGACCATGCCAATAATCGTATGGATCAGAATAATTTATTGCACAATGAATGTGGAGGGGAAGTGAAATGATTGAGGGTCTGGAGAAAGGTTTGAAGGGTGGAGGCTTTGGGTAGGGGTTGTAAATGGAGAGAGGGGGGTGAAGGCGAAGGATATGGCAATGAATCTAGGTCATGGGAGTAGATGTGCTGATGTCAGCTGCTGCGGTGGGATGACCATAGGGAACTCAAAGTCGGGGGGCTGTCTCTTTGTAAGCTCAAAGAATAAAGCCCCCAAGACAATTTTCATTAGGAAAGATGCACGTTGCTGTTTTTGATGTTGTCTGTGGATGTTGTACACAGCCTACACACACTGTAGGTAAAGTGTGCTGGGGAAGACCAGAGACTGAGATGTTTTCACATCTTCCCTACAAGCAGTGAAGGCAGCATGGATGTAGAAGAAATGCTCAGCTTGTAGCATGCAGGATATTTCTGATCTGCTTGTGACCTCCTCACCTGGTTCTGAGATGAACAAAGGGTTTTAGGGGGTGGAGGTTAGCTTGGGCTATAGATTTGTATGGACGAAAAAGGCAAAATGATTGAGGTTGATTGAACTGGTAGTTTGTTTTTCTTTTTTGCTGCATTTTAGGTGAAAGATGAGAATGAATGCATGTCTGATATATTTGCATATTGAGGGTATAAGCAGAGACGTCTGAGCAGAAAGACAGCAGGAACCTGATTTTTCGACTTTGTCTATGAGTGGACACAGATGGTCTGTGTAGAAAGGGTTGAAAGTTGAAAACAAAATCTGAAAAAAAGAAATTGTGTGGGACTTTGTTCAGTTTAACAGAGATCTTTAATTTAACATGCTGAGATGTGAGTGGGACGAGGCTAGACACAGAGTCCTTGTTCGATAAAGAAGTTCATTCTTTTGATGTAGACCTGAGGTCCCCTACCACTGGTTTTGAAGGAGCTCCTGTTTTCTCATTAAGGCTTATGTTAACTGATTGCAGGTCATGTAAAAAGGGGAGAAGAATGGATGAGGATTGCGTAAACGCTTTTAGCATTGTCTTTGTGACAGAATCTAGTTTGAAAACATTTAATCTTATAGTTTCATTTCATTTTTCTTTTCCAGATAAAAGCTGTAATTGAAACACTTACATTTATATTTAGCAATAACATACAACATTGGATGTGAGTGAATGTGCTGTATTTCCCCAAAAATCAACTATTTGTATTATAATATTCTTCTCACCACCACAGGGCATGTCCTTTACCAATACATCCCCACTGGTGGTTCCTTCACGTGGTAAAGAGGTAAATGGATTTGACTCTGTACTGCATGCCACATATGAGCAGGTCTTTTGGTAGTTGTATGTGTTTAATGAATGTATTTATTTATTTAGTGAAAAAAAATTAGCATTTGCAAAATCCATTCCATCCTAACATTGTAATCCTCCTGTTTGCAGTGCACTCTGGGCACCAACCCCATCAGTGTGGCAGCTCCTTCCAAAGACGGAGACAGCTTTGTTCTGGATATGGCCACATCAGCAGTGGCACTTGGAAAGGTGAGATCAGGTTTATCATTATAGGTCATCAGGGCATTTCTTACATACTGCACGTCACCTCCTTCATGCAGAGAGACAATGCCACACCAATGCAGCTGGACAACACCACATGTTCACAATGGTTGTTCATTGGAAGCTTAGCATTATTTGATTAATGTACACCCAGCCTCATTTATGTATGTGATTAAACAGAAATGACTACTCAGAATCCTTGACTACCTGATTCAGTGACATCACATTTTGTGTTCTTATTAGCTGAGATATGTGCGTATGTTAAAGGTCCAGTGTGTAAGATTTAGGTGAAAGGGAACTATTGGCAGAAATTGAATGTAGAATAATCCTCATGATGTTTTCACTAGTTCATTTCATCTAAATTGTATGAATTGTAGTTTTCTTTACCCCAGAAAAGGTCCTTTATATTCAAATACTTTATATTTACCTCGAGTGGACCCTCTCTACGGAGGCCGCCATGTTTTTTACATTAGTCCAGACTGGACAAACTAAACACCTTTTGAGTTTTTATGACAATTAAAGGCTACCACAGTTTATTTTTCATCTTTGGAAGGAGAGGGTGAGGTGAGGGGTGTTCAGCTGCAACATGCACTTTCAACACTAGATATCACAAAATTCTACACACTGTACCTTTAAGTTGTCTTACTCTTGTACTGAATGTGTAATGTGCACAGGTGGAGCTGCACGAGCGGCGTGGAGACACCATTCCCGAGGGCTGGGGCTGTGACGCTCAGGGAAAGCTGACAACCGATCCCAAGAGAGTCCTAAACGGAGGAGGTCTGGTGCCGATCGGTGGCAGTGAAACTACAGGTCAGAAACCAGTAGATACAACTGTTGGCAACTCAGGGAGTTAGACATCAGGGTGCCTGTGCTGCAAAGTTCAACGTACCTAGGATATATATATTTATATCATCCGAAAATTGGCTGTCCTGATAACCTGCTCAACGAAGCAGCGAGTTTAGGTGTTCAGGGTTGTCTGACTTGATCCGTCGACCTGATCTGCCAGCAGCTGCAGGGAGGGAGAAAAAGGAACATACACAAGAACAGCCGTGTCGGAGAGCAGAGAACAATGGCCGATCTCGCAGTGTTTGTTTATTTTCATTAGTCAGGAAATGAAATTTATCACATCCTCTTTGAAGAGAAATAAACAGAGCTAACTGTTTTCTCCTTTATTATTCACCACATTAGAAATGCAAGAGGCACACATGAAAAAACATAACAGAATCTAAGCGAAACAAACTAATATACACTGCTGGTGGTTTCACACAATCAAAAAAAAAAAAGAAATAATATATAGATAATGTTATATGTTGATATTGTATCAATGTTCCAATATGGGACCTTTTTTAAGTACAAATAGCATTTAAAACCTTACATTCATTGATATACAGCAGAAAACACATCTGAATTTCTGCCCCATGGTGCTGCAGCTGGTGGAGAGCATCATGTGACCTGGTGACGCTTTTGCAGCGTTTGAAAAAAGTTGTAGAAAAATGTTCTGACCAGGATGCATTGTGATAAGACCAGCATACATCACGTTAAGTCAGCACTGCCCAGAGCTGCATGAAGTCGAATGCCCCTTTTCTTGTCCGGCTGTGAGTGCATGCATGTGACGGAGGCGGAGTCGTTAATTGAGAGCGTTATCGTCAGAACCATGAATAAGCCTCTTAATACAATCTGAGGAGTTACTCCCATATGTCAGGCTGGTAACAGCGACATCTGAAAATAACTTTCAACAAAGTGAAACTAGAAAAGAGAAGAAACAGTAGAATTTTAATCTTTAAGGTATATATATGTCTTAAGAGAAAGTGTAAATAAGCAGAGGATTTTTATGAGCTAACTTTACTGGACCCCTCAACTCTTGTTCCTGTCAGGATCCTGTAGATCACTGTGACTTTGGTTTTCCAGTGATCTGATTGGTCAGTAGTTCGGCTGCTGACAGGTCTCTTACTAGAACTTCAGCATAAGTTAAAATGGCGATTTTTCCTGTTTGTGACTAGAAGTGATTCATCTCTGCAGGATTGAAATTTTGGTTTTGATTGTCTCCTTCAGTCCCACCTTGGACTCTTTCCTCATTTTCCTCTGTTGTTGTTTAATTGTACATTCTGCCCAATGGTATATATTTTTCTCTAAACCACTTCAGTACATTGATGTCATGTTATGTCTGTTTGTTTCAGGAGGATATAAAGGCTACGGTTTGGGAATGATGGTGGAGGTGTTCTGTGGTATCTTGGCCGGTGCCAAGTACAGCAAACATGTCCGCACGTGGAAAGTAACGGATCGCGTTGCTGACCTGGTACGTTTGTTGTGCATTTGTTTTTTCTACTTTAACACATAGGTACTTCAAAAACCCTCATTAGTTTCTATCTGAATTGGAAAAGGAATCTTTAGAAATATATTGAACTCCTGCATGGAACCACGTATGTTATGTTCCTTCCTGAGCAGTTACCATAAACAAACTGCTTAGTTTTATTATTGCCCAGTTGACTAAGCTTCAGTGTTATTTATAACTCTGTTAATGACGGCAAAGAAATGAACCATGACAGGGAGAGCTAGCTGAGTTAGCTGAGCCGGGTTGTATCAGCAGACGTTTACAGCCACTGTTATCTAAAAGAAATCAGAGAGTCAGACGTTGGCCAGACTCTGACAAGTTTATGTCTCTTTACTTAAAATTGTCTCTATGTGCAAAGAGTGGTCATAGTCCTGTCTATGTTCTCAGGGTCAGTGTTTTGTGGCGATTAACCCAGAGAACTTTGCTGATGGTTTTAACGACAGGATGTCTGACCTGCTGTCCATCCAGAGAGGCCTGGACCCTGTGAGTAGATCCTAATGGTGCAACGCTGATTTAAAGAAAAATATGTGGATTGTGTTGAAAAACTATTTTAACTTCTTTTTGTGGAACTAGGCTGATGCAGATAGTCCTGTTCTGGCTGCTGGAGACCCAGAGAGAATGAATATGAAGAAGTGTGAAGAGATGGGTGGGATTCCCTACCACATCAATGTTGTCAACTACATGGTAAGATTTCAGAAAAGACGACACAATACAGTCTGGCACCTGGACTCCTGTGGATCATGTAGTATAGTAGTGAGCTTTAGAGGGGCCAGTAGGCTACTTTTTTAATCTTTGGACAGAACCAGGCTTGCTGTGTCCCTTCCAGTTCATATGCTAAGCTGAGACAAATGGCTGCCTGCTCGCGCTTCATGTTTACTGTACACACATTACAATCTCATCAATTAACTCTCACACCAAAATCAACGGGTGTAATTGTTTTTTTAAACAAATATGCTAAAAAAAGGCAGTTTGCTTTTCAGGTTTTTCTTCCCTCCCCCAGTGTGCCATGTTTGACATCATTAACACGCCAGAAACTGAGACTCTGTCTCACCTCACTGTCTTGGCAAAAAAATCACTGTTTCATTTTGTTCCCAAGGCTATTTATGTGCCGATTCCCGAAAGTTCAGCAACTGACTGCCAAAATAAAGATGAAGGCTCATTCACCCAAGTACTGCCTATTAGAGCCAGAGACAAATAAAAACGCTTGTCTGCTTCAGAAACATTTGATCTGGGAGTGAATGCAGATTAAATTAATCCCCACTGCAGAACAAAACCGCATGTTTGTGGGGTTTTGACAGGTGGAAAGTGGGCACAACATTTGCAAGAAATCAATTGAGCGTATTTCCCTAAATGTTCCGCTAGTGTATTTAAGGCAAACATTCTTTGAGACTGAGTTAACCTAACCTGATTTCTGTTTTGTCTGCAGAATGACTGTGCAAAGAATATCGGTGTCAGCCCGCTGCTGCCCTGTGACAAGCTCCTCCCAGATCAATAATCATTCCAGCTGGAACTCTCAACTTGAATGAATCTGGCGCTGACTCCTTGGCTCCTCCACCGGGCAACATGGGAATGTGGCTTCATGTACTGCATGTTGACAGTCATGTTTTATTCAATGTAAACACACTTATTTGCACATTTTTTAAAGGTTCAGTTGGAAAAATATAATCATGTTAATTGAAAGGAAAAGATCAAAAGTTCAAGGGACATTTTGAAAACATTCAAGATGTTGTGTCTCTGTGAATGAAACGTGCACATCATCTGTCTGAAGATCTTGTTTACCATCAGATTTTTCTAATGAGAATGTTTCAAGAAAGACTGGGTGGTGATGTTTAAAGAAACTATTTTTTTAAATACATAAAAACATTTTAAATTCACTATGGGACCATATTCAGATTTTCTTTTTACTCTTTTATCATAAAACAGCATTCATTTGTGCCTTAATAAACAGAACAATATCCATAAACTTATACATCTATGCTTTTTATTTCATTACTTCTGTCTCTTCATAACAAGAAGATGTTTGCATATCAACCACCAGATGGCAACATGAGTTACAATTTATTAGTGAAATTCCATTTATCAGCAAACCTTTAATTCACAGTTTATATATATATATATATATTTATTTTTTTTTGTGGTTTGCCTCCATCATTTGATCAGCTAAAATCGAAATTAACAAAGTTAATTTTAAAGCAAAATCTCACACTGTAATTTAACTTCACACAAACATAAACTGCAAGTAAAAAATCCCCTCTTCAGCCTGTAGGTGAGATATGTTTTAACCACTAGAGGGAGACCAAGTCTAAGTAAACGTTCTGTTTTAAAGGTCCAGTGTGTAAGATTTAGATGAAAGGGATCTATTGACAGAAATTTAATGTAGAATAATCCTCATGATCTTTTCACTAGTTCATTTCATCTAAATTGTATGAATTGTAGTTTTCTTTACTGCAGAAAAGGTCCTTTATATTCAAATACTTTATTTTTACATTGATGCAACATGCAACAGTTGTCTTAATGTCAACAGAGTTACAGTGCTGTGAAGAAAGACAGTGAATAGATTTTATTTCCCCTGCCATGTGTTCGTCTGATTGTCTGTCTGTTAGTTATAATAATAATAAACTTTGTTTACATAGCGCTTTTTAAAAACAGAGTTTACAAAGTGCTTTGACAACAAGCAAGTCATATAAATTAAATATAAAATAAAAGGTGAGAAGACAATGATAAAAACACAGTACAAGCACATCACATGAAAGCAAGTCTATAAAAAATTGGGTTTTAAGGAGTTATTTAAAAGAATTCACTGACTCTGCCTTATCTCCTCCGGTTGGCTGTTCCAAAGCCGAGAGGCCCTTTAAGTTTTCAACCTCAACTTTGGAACAGCAAGCAGGGCTCCACCTGTGTATCTAAGGCTGCGTGCAGGCACATAAAGGGTCAGTAATTCTGTGATGTAAGTTGGGACCAGACCCTGGTATGCTTTAAAAGTGACCAGTAAAATATTAGAATCAATTCTAAAATGGACAGTGAGCCATTGGAGAGAAGCAAGGATTGGGTGATGGGATTCTGCCTTTTAAGAGCAGTGAGAAGAAGAGCTGCTGAGTTCTGAAGTAGTCGGAGGTGGGAGAGTGACTTTTGGCTGATGCCAGAGAGGAGGGAGTTATAGTAGTCCAGTCTAGAGAGGACTAGTGCATGAAGTCTGGGTGTGACAGGTTTTACATTTCCAACTTTGAGTTGTTGAGCTGCAGGTAGTTCTGTGCCATCCAACTGTTGATATCATTTAGACAGTCTAACAGCAGCTGGGCTTTCAGGGTCATCAAGTCTCAGCAGAAAGTATATCAGTGTGTCATCTGCATATAGTGGAAGGAGAAGTTGTGGTGTTGGATGATTTGGCCTAGAGGAGGCATATAAACAGAAAATAAAATTGGGTCTAAAATTGAACCTTGTGGTACACCACAGGTAACGTGCATTTTAGAGGATGTGTAATTACCTATGGTGACCGAGCAGGTTCTTTTTAAAAGGTATGAATCAAACCAACTAAATGCAGTAGCCTTGATGCCAATGATCTACAGTATCAAAGGCTGCACTTAGGTTAAGCAGAATTAGACTTGCACTCTCTCCTCTGTCAGCTGCAAAACGAAGGTCATTGGTTACTTTGAGGAGGGCAGTGTCTGTACTGTGATGCTTTAAAACCTGACTGGAATTACTCCAAGATGTTATTGTGAAACATAAAAGATAAACGTTGGGTTGAAACCTCTTTTTCTCAAAACATTTGATGAAAATAGAAGTTTAGATATTGACCTGAAATTTTTAAGAACAGAGGGATCGAGGTTCAGTTTCCTTAAAAGAGGTTGAATCACAGCAGGTTTAAAACTGGAAGGAAAGATTCCCTGTTGGGGATTTATTCAGAATCGTTAAAGTTAGCAGGATTACTCAAAACTACTGGATGGATTACCATGAAACTTGGGAGAAGAACCTTTTAAATTTTGATGTGGATCCTGCTCAGGGGGTGGATTGATTTTTTTCTCACTGGAGAATAATTCATGCATCTTGATGAAAGAAATCAGACACGTTTAAGGAACAGATATTAATACGTGTGTCCAAGTTGGAGCAGATCCAAATAAAAATCTGGATCCAGTGAATTTAAATGTGGTTTCATAAGGGGACTGTTGGGCCTTGTTGGATGTATGCACTCCACTGACTGCCATTCTAGCTCTGCATGGATCTGCATCTGTGTATTTTCCCCCATTTTTAATCCGTATTTTCTGCATGTGTTTGTTTTTAGTGTGTCTTCATGCTAATGAGACATCAGCTGGTCTGTTGAGTCAAATTGCAATTGATGTCAAAATATATTTCAATAAAAATTGTATTTGTAGTCGTTTCCTCTCCTCTATGGATCAATCACTCTGAAAATGGTTGGCGGAGAGGCCTCTCCCAGAGCCACAAGGGAGACTGGGCAGTGACAGATGCCCAGATCAGGACCTTAATCTCCCATGCCAAAAGTCCTGGCACTGGGCCCCGGACCCTGGATGTCTCGTTAACACTCGGCCGGCTGCAGACAAAAGAAGAGAAATCAACAAATCAATGGGCTTTCAGCCCCACTGGGGAAGGGGAAAGGTGGTGGAGGAGGGGGGCTAAGTGAGTGCTAGGCTGGGCTGAGCCAGGTCTGCATTTGGGAAGGCAATGCATGGAGATTACAGGCTTTCTGTGGAGGGGGGAGGTAGGTGTGTGCTGGGTGGAGTGCTCCGCTGAGTTCAAGGATTAAGGGGCCGATTCAAACCCTCGTTATAGGGGGCAGACTCTGAGGTGTGTGTGTGCATGGAGGGATGATGGATGGTGGGGGTCTAATCTACCCTGGCCTTGGCCCTGTGCCCTTGTGCGGATTAAACGGGGCCCCAAACAGCCTCAAGAGCAGGGCCGCTGACTAGGATTAAGCAGATTCTAACAGGTGTTTTCTTTTGTGGTGCTGAGGGGGGATCTGTCCATCACTCCCTGAATGAGCAAATCATGAAGTGATCAACTATTGCTGATGGAGCCAATGATGCCAAAAGGCCACAGCATGTGTGTGTGTGTTGTTTAGTGCTTGTTTTGGACTGCTCTAAGATGAGTGTGTGCTGGTCAGTTTTTCAAGCAGCGGGGTCAAATCAGCAGGAAATGAATCAGATGGGGGTAGAAGGATAAAGTTTGAACTAAACTGGTGCTAACCCGTAAAATTACTCACACACACAAACACACTTTGAAGAAACGAGAAAGTGGCTCCCTAATGCAGCTGATCAGTTGTTGTGACTGTGAAGCAGCAACTCTGCAGGGATTCACTGTGCATGAGATTAGCGTTGCTGCTGCTGGAAAGAGGATCAGATCAGAAGAGCTTAGAAGTGAAAGAGTTACTGACCACCTCAGCTAAGAATTAGGAATACACACACACACAGCAGAGTTATTATGCGCTACATTGCAGACTTGACAGGTCCGTGAACTCGTAGCTGACGTTTGTTATTTCATCAGTTTTGCTAGTGCAAAGTGCTCACAGCGAGGTGCTCAATACAGTGTTGCTCTGTATTTTTATCATTATCTCATAAGATAAATAACTATTATTCAGCAAGATAACTAGAGTGGTACACAACAGCCTCCTTATGAAACCACACATCAATGAACTGGATCTGGGTTTTTATTTGGATCCTCACTGATAAATACCAGTCCTCCAGATGGGCCTGATTTTTTCCATCAAGATCAATGAATTGAACGTGAAAAATAAATCTTGGATCTGCCTCCTGATCCGGATCCAAAACTTAATGGGTTCTTTCCTGACCTATACGGCCTCCTTTCAAGTTTCATGGTAATCCATCTCGTAGTTTCTGCATAATCTTCAATACAAACAAACAAACAGAGGGAGAAACAACACCTTTCAGGATTTTGGGGCTCATAACTTTATTATCCACCTCCGCTTAAAGCCGACTGCATCTCAGCAGACACTAGAAACAAAATTATGAAATAAAACATGAACATCAGGCATTATGAAGGTCAAATGTACTGATATGAAAACTTGTTGTTTACTTTCTCTCTGTATTAGGAATGACTTCTGAGTTGATGCTGCAAATATCTACACTGGTGTGTGTGTGTGTGTGTGTGTGTGTGTGTGTGTGTGTGTGTGTGTGATGACAAACAGAAGGGAGGAGCAGAATTATAGAGAGAGTGGGAGGAGACAGGGAAAAGCTCTGCTGCTCTCCTGCTGGGACTTTAATGAAGTGGAGCGACTTCCTGGTTCGCTCCTTCCAGCTGTTGTCTCTTCAGAGCCAAAGATATTTGGCCTTGGCTCTTTGTCCTGCTCAGGCCACCATACCTCCAAATGAGCGATCGAACATGTAGAAAATAAAAGCAAAGCATCTGGTGTCTTGTTCTCTCCAACTGCTTGGGAATGCAAATGTCTCTCCATCTGTTTCCTCCCCCTCCTGGTTGTTGATGCTGGTTAAGATTCAAGGTACCATGAAGATGCTGAGGACTGATTTCTGATAATATTTCATAAATACTCAACATGTAATGTCTTTCCGGCCCTCTGTCACACACTCTGTTATATTTCTGCTTTTCCTCAGTATTCGTTGTCCTTTTTGGTATCCTATTAATTTATTTTATCTTATTAAGTGTTTGAATCAAAGAATAATTATAAAATGAAAAACATCAAATATCTACATGCTGACAATCAAACCTAAACCAAGCTGAAACTACTATGACACAGTAGAGTTCATACAGTCGCAAAGGCCCAACAGTCCTCTTCTGCACCTTCCTCACATTTATAAATATTTTTTTCCATTAAGCTCCATCCAAAAATCCTGGATCAGCTCCCTGATCTGCATCCACATCAAAGTTGAATTTGTTCCTCTGTCACCCATATTGCATCCTCCCACTTTTGTGGTAATCAATTTATTGGTTTGTGCGTTTGTCTTCCTGTTATCTAACAGACAGACAAACTAATGCAGAT